TTTTCAATTGTCAAATTTCTTGGTTTCTGCTTTTGACGGCCCATATGCTATTTTTAGGGGATAAAGTTTTATATGTCCAATCGATTTCAAAATCCAACACTGGACATAGCAACTCACGCGTACATTTATCATCATAAAAGTTGGTAAAAATGAATCAGGATTATATAAAAGTTTAACGAAACCAAAATTATGGAATCATTTTATTGTGGGATAGTTATCAGACGTTATCATTGATTGCTAACGCATCGCGTTTTTTATTGCCTTCATCGTATAGAATGTAATTTTACACTTTAAGAAAAGGAACCTTATTTTTTTTTCCCTAAAATAGTAAAGTACTAAAAGAAAGTATAATTTACGTATTCTCTCGCCTCTAATAAATTCATTATATTGATAGAATCAATGGATTACATATGTTGTAAGGGCTGTCTCAATTGTTTGTTGCTTTGGTCTTTCTAATCGAAAAAGTTCAATTCCACCCTGATACATAGCATAATTTGAAATCCAGGTAATAATAAAATTATTGTTAAATGATATCAATGCTTGATTATTTGAAAGATCCCAAAAAGTAATGGTTGCGGGAATAGGAACTTGAATATCTTGAATATCCGTAAAATATACCCTTGCAATGTCTGCACTTAATCTTTCGATTTTTACGCGAAGGTTATCATCAATGCAAATAACATTTATGTCGTCTTTTTTGTAAGAAAAGCAAACATTATATGGCGGCATAGAAGAGGGATCAGTAATGGATGTTGACTCAAGGTGTTTTCCGATTTTTTCAATGGAATCCTTTAAGGTAGCTTCAATTTCACGGTTGTTAGTGTCAACCAAATCGTTGATTGACCTTTGCTTATTTTGGAAAGTTGTTTCAAACGTCTTAACAGTTTTATCTATTGCTTCAAGGTTGGTAGTGTCAACCAGATCGTTGGTTGACCCTTGCCTATCTTGGAAAGTTTGTTCAAACGTCTTAACAGTTTTATCTATTGCTTCAAGGTTGGTAGTGTCAACCAGATCGTTGGTTGACCCTTGCTTATCTTGGAAAGTTGGTTCAGCCGTTTTAACAGTTTTATCAATTATTTCGTTGACGGTATTTTTTTCTTCTATTGTTTTAGTATCAACAGTTGCAATTTTTTCTTCATACTGGGAAGAATCAATTAGAGAAATTTTGTGCATTGCAGTTGTTTCGTCG